ACAACTACTCAGTAAAGCAACAAAAAGTAATATCCCGCTTGTAATAATAATATGTAATCCCTTAATAGAAAAAGAGAAGACCACATAATACCCAAATAAGAAAGAGAGCCAAACACACACAATACCCCATGGCTCTAGTTTATGTATTAAATTACTACACACATACACACAACTGTGTACTAGGAAGAGATGTATACCGTCAGTGAGCAGAACAGCCCAGTTTTCTAGACACACAACGGGAAAAGCAAGTAATGGAATTATTAGAAAAAAGAACACACACACACACACACAAAAGTAAAAAAGAAAAGTAATTCGAATTAAAAGAGAAAGCTGGTAAACAGATTATTAATTTATTCACCCATGGGGGATGTACGCAATTATGATTATGTTAGTTTAACCATTATTATTATTATTTGTCCTTAGATGAGACCCACTGTTCAGTACATGGTAGCAGAGAACAACACAGCCACAATCAGTAGGGGCAGACGTACCCACACAGGACTAACACTGCTGCTGTCTTCCTTACGCTTCTTGGGTGGTTTGGTCTCGCTCTTTTCAGGCATAGGAGGTTGCAGTATTGTTGGCATTGCGGGTGGCGTCACCTTAGTTGGTGTATTGGGGGTGCGCGCTGCTGATTCACTCTGTGGAGGTGCTACAGTATTCCTTTCCTGATTATTATTCTCTCCAGTTTGAGTGCTTGTAGTATCTGAGGAATCTGCATTACTGTGGGAATCAGCATCCGTGGCATGAGGAACAGGACGAGAAAACCGAACACGACCCGCTTCACTGCTGCCATTGCCAATATTAATAGCACCTTCAGGCACACCAGGATATTCAGGAATATCAGTTTTATTATGAACAATAGGAACAGCACCAGAAACACCGGGAAATTTAGAACCATGAGGAGGGTCAGAAGCATTGGGTGGAACAACATTAGTAGGTGCCGGAAACTTAGAAGCATCAAAAGAAACGGATCCATGTGCAGCATTACGCTCTGATTCAAGTGCTGTACCATTAGGATGGGTAAGGTTGTTGACGATTTTATCAACACCAGCCGTGAGGGTCGTCGAATTTGCAGGCGGGTCACCACGACGAGGACCAACAGAGCCAGGAACAGCAGGAACACAAGTAACACCGGCCTCACCAACGATTCTTCCCTTACCGTCTACAGTCGTCTCTGTGGAACACCCAGGAAAAGCAACACCAGAAGTAGTAGTGGGCGCTTCGTTTAAACCAGGGATACGAACAGTCACATTAGGAGTGTATTTATCCTTTTCCTTAGGAGGATCAGGATCAACACCAGCTTTACGGGTGTCAGCCGCAGAATTCATACCACGCACACCTGGATAAAGATCGGATTGCTCACCTAATGGTTGACCAGATTGTTGCAGTGCAGGTTGAGAGACAGCTGTCGCAGACGCACACCCATAGGCCCAACACAACACAAAAACCAACAAAGAAAGCACGTGACCCATCATCTTCTTCATAGCCATAATAGAGGTAGTAGGTTTCCCTCAAAAACACTCAACTACAAAGAAACAAAAATATGAGAGATTAACAAAATGCTCATAATACCAAACACCACACGTATATACAAGTAGCGAAGAACAAAAGAAACTCAACAGTGTAGAAAAAAAAACAGAAACAAAGCAATACAGAGAATTAAATCAGTAAAGGTAGAAGCAAAAGGACATCCATATCATCACAGACTCCAGCAGTACAGCATAGAATGTCCCAACAAACCATAAGCAAAGAAAGAAACAGATATTTCAACAATTAGCCCAAATCACCCAGTAAAAAGACGGAAATACACCAACTATGGGTATAAGTCTATATGTGTATATATACGCAATTATAAATATAAATTCATCTGTTATTATAATTTCTTTTCTTTTCACTGCAAAAAAGCAATTCATCATCATTATTACAGTGCAAGCCCAGGCACAGACAGAGAGTCTCCAAGAAAACACACACACAATGGAGTAGCAATAATAATTATTATAGGATAAACATAGAGAGCAAAAAACACAAAAAACACAATATCATTAAGAAACAAAAAAAGAAAAGAAATCCCAACATATGGAATATTAGTTAGACTGTAGGGATTGCATGCAAAAACAAAAAAAAGGATGACCTGAGTCACACCACACCACCACCATTACAATCAGCATACAAGAATACAGGCCAGTGTAACCACAATCAGTAGTGGTACACGCACCCACAGAGAACTGCTGATACTGCTGCTGCTGTCTGCATCACTCTTCTTCTTGTTGTTTGTGAGTTCAAGAGGAAGTGTTGTTGTTGTTGTGGTGGTAGTGGTTGATTCCTCATTATTGGTTGTACTTTCAGTGTCCTTCGTTGGCTCATCCTCTGCGGGTTTCGCAGCACCATTAGCATTCTCAGCTTCACCATTCTGTTCTTGAGAAGTTTGGTTGTTGTCCGAAGATTGAGGTTGTTCTGTTGTACCGCTGTGGGTGCTCTGAGAATCTCTTGTATCTGTATTAGATACACCTGAAGAATCTGAGGACTGTGAACCATTTCCTCCGGGCTGTTGAGTTCTGTTATTCTGTTCAGTCTCTCCACTGATCACTTGACCTGGTGTTGGTGATCCTTCAGCACTCACCCCCGGATCGCCATTCATCTCATTTTCCTGCCTTCCATCTTTACTTCCTGGCACTGACAGAACGGGTTGACTCCCCACTTGGTTTACACCAGTTAAAGTACCAGGGGGTTCTGAAACAGCATCACCTGGTTGCTGTTTCTCACGTTCCAACTGCTGCTGTTTTTCACTCCCCGCAAGACCATCACCAGGGTCAGACACTTGGGAAGTATTCATGGTACCACTACCAGCAACTCCATGAGGTCCAGCAATTGTCGGCGTAGTAGGACAGGAAGCTTTAGTAGGACCACCAGAAACAGTTTTGCAAGGGTCGTCACCAGATTCAGAATCAGCAGGACGAAGTGGTTGTTGTGGTTCTACACTCACAGCAGTAGAGAGATTATTACATTTACCAGCAGCACCTTCAGAACCCTCATTGCAAGCAGCAGGAGTTTCGGTAATAGAGGATATCGTGTCCGCTGAGGAACATAGAGACGCAACACACAGCAATGTCAGAAAACACAACACACGAAACAACAACATCACAACAAGAGGTAATTTTGTTTGATTACTTTTACTTGTAAGAAGGAAGAAAAGCGGAATAGAGAGAGAAAAAAGAAATTAGAATATAATAGCAATAATTAGACGAGGAAAAACAACAAGAAAAAAAAGATTCACCAAAAACCGAAACAACCAGCAAAAATAATAAAGAAGCCAAGAAAAAGACATCACAAACAATTTCAAGCAAAACAAAAGAAAAAGAAATTAAGAACATGAACGGTGGCATGATAAAGGGCAGAAACCACAGAGCCATGATTATATTGGAATTCATAAGCAATTATGCATATGTATAATTTATCTTTTTCCCTCCGTACAAAAAACAGATCACCAAAAGGGTACACAGCAAAACATAGAGGAAAAGCAAACCACAAGCAAAAAAAAAGATATTAACTATTAGCCCAATTTACCAAGTAAACACAGAAATATACACCAACTATGGGTGTAATTCTGTATGTGTGTATATACGCAATTATAAATATAAATTCATCTGTTATTATTATTATTTACTTTTCCTTTCACTATAAAAAGCAGTTCATCATCACTATCACAGTGCAAACCCAGGTGCACAGAGAGAGAGTCTCCAAGAACACACACACAATGGAGTAGCAATAATAATTATTATAGGATAAACATAAAGAGAGCAAAAACACACAAAACACAATAACATTAAGAAACAAAAAAGAAAAAGAAGAGAAATCCCCAACAGGTGGAAGATTAGTTAGACTGTAGGAATGTATGCAAAAGAAGAAAAAAGAGAAAACAAAGGATGACCTGAGTCACACCACACCATACCATCATTACAATCAGCACACAAGAATACAGGCCAGTGTAACCACAATCAGTAGTGGTACACGCATCCACACAGAACTGCTGATACTACTGCTGCTGCTGTCTGCATCACCCCTCAAATTTGGCATTATGGTGTTATTGCTGATTCCAGTGATAGGAGGAATTGTATTGGTGGTGGTAGCAGGTGAGGTTGAGTCCTCATTACTGGTGGTATTGAGAGTAACAGAGGTCGTGTTTGCTGTGGCTTTCCCTTCTGATGATGCACCCACAGTATTGACACCATTTGTTGATTTATTCTCTGCCTTTGTCACATTATCAGTAGTACTGTTGGGCTCTGTGCTCGTGTTATTTAGTGTGTTTGAATCACCAGTAGATAGACCAGATTGAGTTGTTTCGGCGGAGTGCTGTTGTGAATCTCTAGTAGGATGTGGTTTTGAGTCAGCAGTGACATGGGATTCTGTACTTGTTGTACCTGTGGCATTTGGTTCTGTATTGTGGTTCTCTTGTTGAGGACCGTGTGTGGTTTCCTTTATCTGTTCTTGTTGTCCCTCAGTTCTCCTCTCACCTGAGTTACTGGGTACTGGCTGCTTCTGCGTACCTTCTGCTTGCTCTGTCAACTGACTGGGCTGATTGATACTGACACCTTGTAAAGGAAGGGGGGGAGATACAACAGTTTCCTCTTGATTTTCATTCCCATGGTTATGACCTTGTAATCTGTCATTCAATTTTCCTTTCGGGCCCTTTAGTTTCTTATCCTTCTCACCCTCATTAACTTGATTGGGATTACTCTTCGCTATGATAGGAGGTTTCTCTTCCTTATTGGATGCAGGACCAACACCACCTCCTGGCAGACTAACAGCACCACCATCAAGGTGAGTGGAAAGAGTCATACCATGAGAACCATGAGAACCAGCAAGACCATGTGGATCAGGGGCAGCAGGTCTACCAGCAGCACCATGATTAGGTGGAGAAAGTAATGGAGAAGGATGAGTATGAGGGTGAGCATGACTACCAGGAACACCAACAACAGGACAGGAACCAGGCACACCAGGAGTACCACAAAGACCCTGAGGACCAGCAGAGGCACAGTGAGACGCATGCTGTGGACCAAGAGGAACACCAACAACAGGAGGAGACTGAACAGGAGGCATTTTAACAACAGGAGGAATTCCAGGCTTACCATTATAACCAGGAATAGCGGGTTGGAGTCCTACATTATTATGAGGCATA